GAAAAAGCCCACTCAACACTGTTCTATTCTACCTTTAACACTATTTTAAAGAAAAAATTGTCAACTCAGTGGCAGTTTCCCCGACTGTTAAGCGGGGAAAAGCTTAAAACCACACCAACACTAAAAATTTGTTACTCCGCATGAAAGTAAAGAGCCAAGAAAATAAATTCAACCTTTTTTATAGAGCAATCGACTCTCTTGTACAGACAAAATAAGCAACTAAGTTGCGATTTTCCCCGAACGATAGCGGTTTTTTTAGACCAAACTGCTCTGTATAGAGCTCAAGCTTTGAATCCTTAAACAAATTAAAGAATCTCAATCTTTTCTTCACTATCGGAAGAAGAAGATTCACTTTCGATTGAGCCTAAACACATCAAAAACCGACTTGGTCCCTCACAAGCCATTAACAAAAGCGACGAGATTAAAATCCCACCTGTACCCAAATCCTTTAAAAGAGCTCTGTCAAAATCGTGAAGGGATTAAAGGCCGTTCGGGCAATTTCTCTGAAAGTCTTGATTAGTGAAGAAATTTTTGAGAAAATCCTTTGAAAAAGCAACCGCATTTGTTCTGTTTGATTTCGTGTCCCTTGTAGCCGTTGCCCTTTGGCCGCCTTCCGCAAATATTTTACTACATTTCTGCTCAGTCTTTTTATGCCTTTTTTTCCTTTTGTACTGCGCAGTACGTGGGGGACAGAGAAATTGCCCTTTGATACCGGTTTATTTTTCTCGTCAAGGGGAATGTTCCGGTCAAGTTGCGTCTTTAATTGGACAGCGCAAAACGGACCCGATTGCAATATTCTCTATTGTTTTCAACGACATCACTGGCATATTAAGAGAGTGAACCTTTCACTGCCGATTGCTTGAAACGAAAACTCGCCAACATCATACCTATCTGGAATATGTTCAAAAAGATTAAGCGTATAACCGGGATAAAACAGAAAAATCCCGACTGATTTACCGAATAACGCACATGAATCACGCTTTAAATACGGGGAAAACATTCAAGTCATCAGAAGCCGATAGCTGGTCCGCGATTAGAAATTATAAATAATTTAGATAGTGCAATAAAAAATGCACCTTATCACCTGCTTATAAACCCACTTATAGATTGCTTTAATGTTCTATCAGCAGGAAAACGGTATTAATTAAACACAGTTATGCACAACGAAAAGGACGCCAAATTGGCCGAAAAACGCCTCAGCTGGTCCCTAGAGGCAACATCATTGAGCAAATTAAACCGAATTAATACCGGATCATCATCGGTCTGGTTAAACCAACAGCAATTTAATGGAATTAATAATTTTTTAAAAAATTGCCGAAGACCATTTTCGTTCCTAAGTCGATTTTAAAAACTCTACCTGGGTTGGGTGTCGCACTAACTCATCCTGACCCTGCATTTTACCTTCGTTTTGATGGATTTGGGGCCTTAACAACCGAAAATTGCACTCGCACAATTACTACAATGGCTCTATGAGATACTGTTGCGTGATGGTGTCGGTTCAAGCATTAATAGGATGCAATCAAACCAGATTTTAGTCCATGGGATGCTAAGTGTGTTTAAGTGCTAATACAAAGCGGACATTTTCTCGCTTTATATGTTCCCACCAAAGTGCCGTTTAGTGAATTCCGATTGCAAAATGCGCTACACCATCATAAACCGAACGCCATACCTGGAGGTTTCCAGTCGTTTTTTTAATGGTGAAATAATGCTCGCATAACCCCAATTAGACTGTTAGGGGAATTATTAAGCGTTCTAGACATTGGCCCTGTAATTTGACGCGGAGGGCACGAAAATCGTTTAATCAAGCCTATTTCTTAAATATATGGTACTAATACCAGGCTTTCCTAAGCTTTTTCGACAATTTACGACCCCGCATTGGCTGGCCGGGTGTTTTTTTAAGGACGACTACAGTCTTGCAATTGTTGTCAGTTTCAGGTGAAAGATAGCCAAAATGGGCCCTAGGACTAGTCAGCGTAGACTTTTGTTTTTCAGTTTGAAAACACTTACATAGAAAAGCCCTCGACGTGAATTACGTATTCCAGAACGTAGGCTGCATGAGTTTGTCTCACTCGTACACATATGGGTCTATCAGAGATGCACGATTGTCTGTGGATAGCTACGTTCCAACCTGATACGGTAACGACTAAAAATATCTCCAGTTTTGAGCGAGACGTAGTTTGGAAATACATTTTTACGTGTATTTTGAATGTTTGCTGTTGAATGTCTGTTCTGATGACGGGTTTGGTATTGGATTAAAACTCATTTTATTTTTAAAAAATGGTAGCGGTTTCCAATGTTTTGAGCCTGCGAAAAACACTATTACCATATGGACATTGATATTAACTCGATTATCAAACCAATTCTAGCCATCACTACTCCACCGGCTAGTTCCAAGCAGCAATTCCCCAACTAGTTCTATTTATGCCCAAACTTTCCCCTCATTCTGTTGAGGCTTCGTGACCACCTTAATACCATTGGTCATTGAAACCGGATAATGGAGCACTCATTAACGTGGACAATTTTAAATAACTTGCTGATATAACGCTGGCTAAAAAGCCGTTCTATCCTTGAGGGACAGTGGCAAAGCAAGCCGAACTTTAAGCTTCGGCGTCTTAAAAAGACTCCTTAAAAAGCACCGGCTTCTATCATCTTTTCAACTAGCAAACCGATGTTTAGGCAAAAATCGGATGGTTCTGCCGCCATTCAACACTAACAATCCGCAGCCTTGAATTTGATAAATTTTCGGCAGTAATATGTTTGGTACGGGAAGTGTGCAGTGATTTAGCACCTTTTAGCCGTTTTGGCTAATATTTTGACATTTCAATGGGGGCTGGCCTTCGATGTGTCCCATCCTTGACCATCGGGGTCTGATGTTGGCGGTAAAGCGCACTGAAAAAATCGCCTTCTATTCAAATTCAAATTTGCTTTTTGCAAATTTGAGCCCATCACCGTGTCAAGGGGCGGAAGATAACGCAAATAGACTTTTCGTCCTTTTGGTATCTCTTGCCCTTTAAATCGAGGAGTCCGGCCGACAGGAAAAAAACCCCACTGTGATTGCTTAATTTATCAAGAAAATTTGAGGAAAAAGGTCTGGCACTCTGGCAATAAGAGCCTGATTAAGGTGCATGATTAAGTGCATATATCCAGTGGATGGAAAAGGACATTGGCGTAGCCAGGAAAAGCTCCGGGAAATTTGTATTCGGCATCCAGAGCGATTTATCCAACAGCGACGAGCTGTCAGATAAGAATGATGAATGTCTTCTAATGCAAACAGAATCATTTATGGTGTCACCTATCGGGACGATATGTCAACACACTCTCGATACTCGGGTTCATAGGCTAAAAAGTGGAGGCAAAACCGATGCATTTTCCATCCCCAGCCCGCCATCAATCTCTTGGCGATGGAGGAAGAGATGTGTTTACAATGGAAAACTTTTCGTTTTTACTTGCCCTTGTTCGTGTATTGATTTTCAACGAAATATCCAGGTTTCCCTGTTAAACACTATTGCTCATAAAAAATCATACCTATTTGAATCATTAGAAAGTTCATCGTTTCCTTCCCAAATTTCCTTCACCCGAGTCAATAGTGAATATTGTCTCTAAATTCTCACATCCAACGTTATGGAACAGTTGAAAAACGGTCGTAAATTCACCGAAACTGTTCATAGAAAAACAATGGCTTATGCCACTCGAAACCCGTCCTCATCGCACATGGATGTGAAGGAAGTCTTTCGCACCTTAAGCCGCGGTTTTCTCCGGGTTATCGTTAAGGTCTCAACCAAAAGCTGGTCACTTTGGGAGCCCCCCGAAAGACAAAGATTTAGCAACCCTATTAGACCTGCTGGAGCCGAGTGGATTTCGCCGTAAGGTCCGTGAAAAAACAACATAAATTAACTAGGGCATCTTTAGAAGAATAGGAAGCCATTCAAGCTAACAGAACAATAATGGAATTTCGTGCTTTTACCAGATGCGAAATGCCTCATTGGGATGGTCTACATTTGAAGAGGGCTGGCACAAGCATAAAAAATGCTTTTACAGTTTACTGGGAATTTCGAACTGAATAGAGCAGTCTGTTCTTCTTTGCCAATTTCACTCCACGGGGAATTTTAAGAACCATTTAAAAGTTGTTATTGATAAGCTACCTTTTAGTCATAGAACAGTTTGCGAAAGCTTTGGGCATATTGTCTTCACTTGACTGAAAAAGAGAAAGCGAAGCGAATTTAATCTTTTGGTGTTTAAAAGAGTGCCTGTGATTTCGGAAATGGAAAATCAGCCAATTGAAGTGTTAAAAAAATTCAGGCTTTAAAAGTGGTCAAAAATTTCCTCTGAAGTCATTTTTTTATCTGATCACAAGAATGCCAACCAGTCAAACTGTTGGGTTTATAGGGCTCTTCGGACGTCGTGGGAAATATTTTTTTGCTCAGGTTTTGCAAGCACGAGAAGAAGTTCTAGTTGACGACGGCCTAAAAATCCGAAAAACTTGCAAATTTCCAGCAATGTCTTCAGAAATACAAACTCTCTTGAACCATCGAGTGAGTCTTGGAGGAACGTATTTAAAATTTTTGAGCTTTTCCTAATTTAACCGATCATATTCCCCAACCATCCACTATTTAGTGCGTGACTCACAATCTCCGCTTCAGATAAGTTCGGCTGATATAGGAAACCCTCAAAACTGAATGGAAAAACGCAAAAATGCTACACCGGATCGAACGAAGCTAAAGTGTTGGATGTTTTTCGGCTAGAAAAATCCTCATAAGAAAAGTGTCACAATTCCCACAGTTTCCCAGAAAAGTTCCAAATTTTGGGGCGAACAACGCGCTTCTCCAATCGGCATCCGGAACGCCGAACGGAATCTTAATTAGTCCATTGTCAGACATCGCTAAGACAGCTTCCCGATGGCAAAACCACCGAAAATCATTGTCAAACAATCGAAAACACGAACGCAGCCGTCTAGTGGCGCCCCCATATCTTGCGTGCGTCCACTCAAAACGCTCCGCTGCTGTTTATACCCGCAGTAGCGCTCCGCTAGCCTTCAGTGTAGCTCGAAGCTCGGTCGGAGTTAGACGTGTCACGCTTATTCTTCTGAACTTCCGACGCTCGAAACGAAATGATCGCGCAAAGAAGTTGTAAATGATGATGCGTCGAGTTCGGTTGTGATTTTGTGCGCGATTATGCGACTTAGTAATTCAGACAAATAGTGAAAATGTTGTTCCTGATTTTCGGTGTATTGCTCCTACTGGGATTGAGTGATGGTGCGAAGTTTGAGGGCAGCGAGTTGTGCTCGTGGTTGCCCGACAACAACGAAGGGAGTTCAAAGTTGGCCGTTTCCTGCAATGTAAAACTGCTGGATCATAAGGCAGGCAACCTGAGCAATATCCCTCAAGAATTGACCTCCCGGCTAAAAATCCAATGTTCCAACACGATTTTCTTTGAAAGCATTCTGCCCTCCAACTTGCAGAAGTTGCATGAACTCGAGGTGCTGCAGATCCGCAACTGCAAGCTGCTCACTATCGAGCCCAACGCTCTCCAAGGCCTCTATAATCTGAAGAGGCTCTTGATCAACGGATTCAACTCCCAATGGGGCCCGGCGAAAAATCTGGAAATTAACAGCCAGAGCTTCCATGGCCTCAAAGAGCTGCAGGTGCTGGACCTGGCCGAGAACAACATTCGGGCCTTGGCCGACGAGGCGTTTTGCACGCTTCTCAACTTGCAAACGTTGAATCTGACCAGAAATCGAATCCGCAGCACCGACATGATCGGAATCAGCCATCCGGAGTGCAACTCCATCGAGCTTCAGAACCTGGATCTGAGCCACAACGAGATTAGGCTTCTGAGCGAGGAGAGCGGCTTTGGCAAGCTGCGACGGCTGCAGCATCTGAACTTGCAGTTTAACAACATCAGCGAAGTGTCCGGGGAAAGTTTGGCAGGCCTGGTGAGCCTCAAAGTCTTGGATTTGTCCAATAACCAGATCGGGGCGCTGCCTCAAGGATTATTTGCCGGCTCGCCAGAGCTCAAAGAGATCCACCTCCAAAACAACTCGCTTTACTCATTGGCCAAAGGCCTGTTTCATCGGCTCGAGCAGCTGTTGGTGCTGGATCTGAGTGGCAATCAACTCACCAGCAACCATGTAGATAACGGCACGTTTTCCGGCCTGATTCGCCTTATAGTGCTCAATCTCTCCCACAACGCTCTCACGCGCATCGATTCTCGCACCTTCAGAGATCTGTTTTTCCTGCAAATTTTGGACCTACGGAACAACTCCATTGGGTTTATTGAGGACAACGCCTTCCTGCCACTGTACAATTTGCACACGCTTAACCTGGCCGAGAATCGACTAAACACTATCGGGCCGCAGCTGTTCAACGGCTTGTTTGTCCTCAGCAAGCTGACTCTCAACAACAACCTGGTGGTTTCAGTAGATCCGCGTGCGTTTCAAAATTGCAGCGCCCTCAAAGAGCTAGATTTGAGCTCAAATGCGCTGGCCGAGGTTCCGGATGCCATTCAGGAACTTTCGTTCCTCAAGACGCTGGATTTGGGCGAGAATCAGATCAGCTCGTTCCGGAACGGGTCATTTAAGAATCTCAACCAGCTGACTGGATTGAGGTTGATTGATAACACCATTGGAAATTTGACTCGTGGGATGTTGTGGGACTTGCCCAGCCTGCAAGTGTTGAATTTGGCGAAGAACAAGATCCAGACCATTGAGCGGGGGTCTTTCGACCGCAACACTCAAATCGAGGCCATTCGCCTGGACGAGAACTTCCTGGCTGATATCAATGGGATTTTCGCCGAGTTAGCCAGCTTGTTATGGCTGAACCTATCGGAAAACCACTTGGTTTGGTTCGACTACGCCTTCATTCCCCGCAACCTTAAGTGGCTGGATATCCATGGGAATTTTATTGAAAATCTGGCCAACTACTACAAGATCCAGACGGAGATCGAAGTGAAGACATTGGACGCCAGCCATAATCGCATCACCGAAATCAATCCGATGTCCATCCCCAATAGTGTGGAACTGCTCTTCATCAACAACAATTTTATCAAGAAAGTGCACCCCAACACGTTCCTAGATAAAAGGAGCTTGGCTCGTGTGGACATGTACGCCAATGATCTGATTTATCTGGACATCACTGCACTGCGAGTGGCCGATTTGCCCGATAACAAGTCGCTTCCTGAACTCTACCTTGGAGGAAACCCTTTCCATTGCGACTGCACGATGGAGTGGCTGCAATCGATCAACAGCAAGAACGGCTCGAAGAGCCACATGAAATATCCACAGGTGATGGATCTGGATAATGTAATGTGCAAAATGACCAACGCCAAAGGAATGAGCCACATGCCACTCAGCCAGGCAAAAGTGAGCGACTTTGTCTGCATTTATGAGACGCACTGTTTCACTTTGTGTCATTGTTGTGACTTTGATGCATGCGACTGCGAAATGACTTGCCCGAACAACTGCAGCTGCTACCACGATCAGACCTGGAACACCAATGTGGTAGACTGTTCGGGGCAGGGCGCCGCTGAGATTCCCCAAAAAATCCCCATGGACGCCACTGAAGTCTATTTGGACGGGAACTACATTCGGGAGTTGCAGAACCACGCCTTTATCGGCCGCAAGAACTTGCGAAATCTGTTTGTAAACAGCAGCAACGTGGAGGCCATCCAGAACAGCACCTTTAACAGTCTGCATGCTTTGCAGGTGCTCCATTTAGAGGACAACAATTTGCGCGAGCTTAAAGGGTAAGTTTACTTATTTACTTGCAATTTTCTGGGTTTTTCCATTGTGAACAATTTTCAAGTTTTTAATCCGTCGTCGATAGGACTTTGCTGCAGACAGACGGTTTGTTAGCACGTATGGCTGGCATCTTCAGTGTTGTGTGATTTTTAGATATTCCTATCGACGACGCCCTAAGGATCCAAAAATCATAAATTTGTCCAAATTATCAACGAATTTCTTTATAGTAGTATAGGTATAGTACCGAGACAGTATTCCGATTTTTTTTCGATGAATAGAATTTTTTTTCAAACTTTTTCTCTATGAAAGTATCAAGTTGTATCGTGCCTGTCATAGATTAGTGCGTGTGCGAGTGAGAAAACCGATGCTAGCTGCGTTGCCGCATAAAAAAAATAAATTTTATTCCATCCATTTGAATAAGTGGGTGCCCCCGAAGTCACCCCAAGCGAATTTTAAACAAAATTTAGCTATTTAGATTTAATGCGAAATTCCTGATCTGAAGCAATGGTGATTTACAATAATCTAATTTTTTCCATCATAATCGTTTACAAGAGAAACGATTTTTTGCAGGTTTTTAAGTCGTAGTTTAGACGTAATAGAAAATTTGCTCCAAATGTTTTTTTTGCACACACACGACTCTGAAGAAGCCACCCATATGTGCTAGCGAAACGTCTGGAGCAAAATCCTGTCAATTACAATCCGGAAAAAAAATCCTGTAATCTGCCTCTGAAAGAAGAAATGGCTATTTATGGCGTTCTATTAATTGTAATTAGGACGACATAGCAATTATTGTTATTTACTATTATTATCATTACGAAACAAATAACTGGCGGCAAAAGTCATGAATAAATTTTGATTAGATAAAACTGATTCTGATTGTTAAACTTTTTCACTCGCACCCATATGGGTCTATGTGAGATGCACGATGCGTTGTCTGTGCGTTGCTACATTCCAGCTTAATACTGTAGTTTTTGAAAATATTTTTTATTCGAATGAATCAAAAAGTGCCATTTTCCGATCAGAAGCGATGATTATAAAAAAGCAATTTTTTTTAGTGTTCATTTGTTTTACTTTTACGTACGGACTTTACCGCACATTGTGCGATAAAGTAAATGTGACAAATCGAACCTGTCACTGTTATTATATTTTTTAACGTATTTTCATTAATAATATAATTAATAATGAAAATAATATAATTAATAATGAAATAATAATTTTATCGACCACTGAATTTAAAGTTTACTTACAATATCTAAATTATAACTTTGTTACAAGTTCAGTCTCAAAGTCGTTTTCATTTTTTTCTGCCCTCGTCAATGTTGCCACAAGCAAAACACGATTTTTTTAAATAGCGCAAATTTCATGCAAAATATACAAACACCATACCGTCCTACCGTGAAAGCAGCACTTGAATTTTCAGCATTCATTGTTTCACTTGTATATGCTTACAAAAGTACGCTTTTAAAAAATTACAAACGTTAAAACGTGACAATTTCAAAAATGGCATTGACATCAAAGTTAACAAATATGAAGTTGACGTATTTTATTCATGGCAACTTTTATTTATTGTAACGTATGTTTCGTTTTATATGTTTAATTCGAATAAAAAATGTTGTTTTTTATTCGTTAAAAAAACGGATTTTCGCCCTTGTATCGAAAACTACTATTTTTTACTACTAACCTGTGAAGTAATATTTCTATCCCTAGGGCAATAATAATTGCTAAATTGATAAAAGATGTTTACACCTCTCTAAGTTCAAGTGAGATTCCATCCATTTCCACTGTAACTTCCATATTCACTAATTTTTCGCTTTTTCTAGAAGTTTTTCATATAACTTTTTATGTATTTCTATATACTTATATTTTTTTCAGATCGGTAATTTATATTGTGGCAGGTTGTCAGTTTGACAACTAACTGAACGTCAGGCTTTCAAATATTGCGACACTTCAGAAAATTTGCGGGAAATTCAAAATATAATTGAATCAATTTAGGCATTTATCAGTGTTCAGAGTAAAAAATAGCAATATTTTGTGCTCAGTACATAATAGTTGTTGCTTAGTGATAACGTTTATTATCACGCATGGCTGGCATCTTCAGCCCCAAAATATTGCATAATCAGGATTTGATGCTACCCGATTTAACTCCTCAAACATGGCAACTAATCCTTTAATTGTTTCTTTACAGATACGAGTTTGAACATTTGGACAAGTTGCAGGAATTGTACCTGCAAAACAACTACATCGATCGCATCGGCAACCGAAGTTTTGAGCCGCTGGTTTCCCTCAAAATTCTGCGACTCGATGGCAACAAGTTGACAGTGTTTCCAGTGTGGCAATTTTCGTGGAACCGCGACTTGACCGAAATTATGTTGGCAAACAATCCGTGGTCGTGTCGTTGCAAATTCCTGCAAGAACTTACGAAATGGGTGGCGGACAATGCGGTCAAAGTGCTGGACAGTGGCAGCTTGCTCTGTTCCATCCCCGACACCAAGCCGGCCCAAAATCGCGAACTGGACTTCAACTCCACCGTGTGCAAAGACTACTACGCAGGCAGTTCCGTAATTGACTCTATGCTAGTGAGCGACTACTGGCCAATGGTAGTGGTGACTCTTTGCGTGGTCATTCTTATGCTTCTGGTTGTAGTCCTCTGGTTTATCTTCCGCGATCCGGTTCGCGTTTGGCTCTATTCGCGTTATGGTGTGCGGCTGTGCAACTTCAGGGACTCTGGCTCTAAACAGTTTGATGATGGCGACAAGCTCTATGATGCCTTCGTGTGCTACAGCCCTAAGGATGAGGAGTGGGTGGTGCACAGCCTTGCTGCAGAGCTAGAGCCCAAATACCAGCTCTGTCTTCACTATCGGAACATGCCGAACAGCTCCTACAGCCAGCATGCTGTGCCAGAGGCTGCAGAGGCGAGCCGCAGGCTTATCATGGTGCTCACCAGAAATTTTCTCGAGACCGAGTGGGCTCGCTACGAGCTACGGCAGGCCTTTCATGAGGCGCTCAAAGGGCGCGTCTACAAGCTGGTTATTGTTGAGGATGGGCCTTTTAACGAGGCCCTGCTAGATCCCGACCTGAGGCTTTATCTCAAAACGGCCGAGCGAGTGAGATGGGGCGAGCGACGGTTTTGGGAGCGACTGAAATACGCGCTTCCCTCTGTAGACTCGCGGGGGAAAATCAACGCCAACTACCGGCGCAATATCAACAACTACACAATTGATTCCAGAGTTGTGCCGAATGGCACCCACCATTCCCACCATCATTTCCCAGAGAAGATCCGGGGGCAGGCGCCGCCCTCGCCCAGCATGCAGATGATGCCGCCCCCAGCCTACTCTGCTGGAGTGGCGGG